CCCCCTCGTAACTGCCAGTGTGCGGCGACGACATGAAAAAATGTTGGGGTGAGTTTGTCCACTTGAGTAACCGTTTCTACCATCTCGTTTTCTGCCAATAAGCACCACTTCCCTCCTGTCTTTAAAACACTAAGCAGCATTGGCCTGCTTTAACTTAGCTATTTCGGTCATCTTCTGTGTAATGCTATATTTCTCAGAAAATGTTATGGGAGACGTTAGCCTACCGATCGTATGCTTCCTGGCGGGGAAACGTTTAGTCTGTCGGCCGTTCATTGTGGAGTTCCGTTAAGTTACATGAAAAGTCACTTTGAACTGCTCTTCAGATAATTGCAGCTTGTCGAAAATGTGCTCTTGCATGCAATGTGAAGTGAAATTTTGAAAAATGCTTTTCATTTGGTATAATTTCTTTAGTGGAGTTTTAATCTCAATTATCCGCAGCACAATCCCCGCATGTTAGTGATTATAGTCATCGCCTTGTTCTAAAATGTAAGTTGAAAGCTTGGACAGCAGTTTCCATGTGCGCCCCGCTTTTTAGTGTCAGATGCCATGGAGCGCACGCTTCTGAACGTCTATTATTATTGGTACACGGGCGTTCTGTTTACTAGGATTCTTCTGATTGTCTGGCCCTCCTCATAGCACATCGCCTTCTTCTATCTGTTAGTGTAAACTTCAACCACTATTTTAACACTGTTCGAGTCATTCGCGATCCAGTAAATTGGAATCGTTGGAGCCTTTTCAATCATACAATGCCGGCTGATCATCAGTTTTATTAGTCATTTTGTCTGTTATGTCTTCCGGTAAGGCACTTACTTGCGCCTCTTAGGAGTTATAATTGTGATTAGGCAACTGTTCTCATAGTTCTGGAGCCGTTTTCTTTTTATCCAAACCTCCCTGTATTTATAAGGGTTTTATTGTTTTTTTGCTTGCGTCCTCCCTGCGGTCCCTAGGTATGTGTACTCTGAGCCAGTAGACAGTGCGCGCAAGTCAACCCGTCGTCGATCCGGTAGCCAACTTCTTTATGCCTCCACTGACAGTCGTCCCTTCCACTCCTCCAAGGAGGAGGTTCGTAAGAAGTTGGACTTCTGGTCGGAACTACGCAAGTGGCATAAACCCGTAGCTGCAGAAGAAACCGTATGTGAGACTACTGTACTGCCAGATGTCTCATTTCTAAAGGTTGGTCCTCCCACTTTTAACCCATGAGGCTGGGTCCTTTTTCATCGCCGTCAATTCCCTTGAAAATCTACTTTTTTTCGAATATATACACAGGCCAGTGGTATTCCTAGTTACACACATCAAATTCAATAGCTCTAGGTACTCAAATGGTTATCTACTCACACCCCTCTCCCTTCTATGCATTGGTTGGCATGCTGGTTGAGTCTGTACTTGGGGAGTTTTTACTCATCTGACATTTAGAACCAGTTATGCTTCAGTGAATTTGCTTGGTTGCCGCTGCCTTCTCTGTTGCCATTGGAGTCACTTTGTGTCGTGAATTTTACGTATTCAGTCTTATGCCTCAGGGTTTTCATCCTACATCCTTGTTCGTTTTTTTTTTATTTTTCCTCTATGAAGCTTTGTGGTTAGCGCTTTAGCAATACGCAGTATTCCTCCTCGGAGCGAGGAGCATGATGATGTCTTCTAAGGGTCGCATTTATTTATCCTGTTTCAACTTTAGCCAGATCTTTCTAAAACTACGGACGGTATTCCAGACGATGAAAACGACGAAGCCAGTGCTGAACAGTCTTACGCCGACGATGAGGTTACCATAAATCCTCGGACCCTTACGCTACGTAAGTCCAATCAAATGTCCATTTTGGTTTACAAACCACGTTTCCTTTTTTGTTATGAACTGTGATGTTTCACTTATGTCCGGCATCAATGTGGTCAATCCTTCAACATATCTTTCTAGCCTTAACGTTGCAGACTTCTGGAGTGGACCATGATTTGGCCACATCGTTTTCATAACTGAGTTTTCAAATCCGAAAGGCTCTGCTCATTTACGTACAGTATTTTACGAGGTTTATCCTGTAAACTTACTGTTGTAAATGAGTTCCTCGTGTCCTTATCACCAAATGTGCTAGATCATTTGCAAATAGCAAAAATTAAAGGAAGCAGAACACACGATTTGGCACTTGTTTCCCGATGTGAAATTAGACCAAATAGCTACGAAGGTCAACGTGCGAATTTGTAAGGTCCTACAAATGAGGTTGCCCTCAGTTTCTTCTTTATCATAATCTGTGCGTTACCTCTATATTATACTGTTCATAATAACCGACTATTGTCTGTTCACTCCTTTCGGCTACCCGATGGCTGCTCGCTTTTCGTCTGCAATTATGTAAACTAGCAATTTTTGAATACTTCTGCTGTGTCGGTACAATTCTTAGCCGCCGTGTCACCAACAGGGAGCTCACAGGCGTTTGCCTATGTTTGCCTCTACAAAACTGAGCCTAGTGACCTCGAGCCTGAAGTATTCGTTATCCCACACACAATCTCACACGTAACGAAGTAGGAGATTTGTGTAGATATGATGGAAAGTTTTTCTTATCGAACATGTAACCTATGAAAACAATAATAGCGAACTGCATTTGACCTAATTGGGAAAGAATCGCGGCCTCGTTGCCCCCTCCTAGTAATGGGACAATAAAAAAGTTGCTCTAGGGGAACTAAAAAAAAGAGAGAAACGGTACGGGCGTATATGTTCGGGTAAAGGATTGTTTGGCTAGCTGCAAAGGTGTATACAACAGTAAAATACGACATGAAAATCAATCGGCAAAACAAACAGAACAGCATGTTAACAAGGTTTACAGAGTCTAGAAGTCCCCGGGGTATTGCCGGGAGTCACATGCCGCGTTCTATACAAGGAGTCCTCGATCGATAATTAAAACAAGCACGAGTCCTTGGATTCTTGTTGGCTGTCAAAAATTAGTGTTGAATTATGCTGTATCAGTTAGTTTTAAAATCCGACGTGCGTGTCGTATGTGGCAGTTTTTTCGATGCTATGGAGTTAAGCTCTTTTATTATAGCATCCAATACCCTCCCTCCTCCGACAGATGAGGACGGTGCGCCTGTGGTGACACCCGGAAGGCCTCAAAGTCCTGAGACCTCTCAGCTAGACTCCGCTCCAGTCCTCTTCTGTACCTCCCGTCTGTTCAAACACCTCGAGGCCGTCTCTTCCGAGGGTCTATCCACCAGCTTCACGTTCTCTCCTCCCATCAACCTTCTGGTATGTTCAAGTGCTCTCCCACCATACTACCGTGTCCTACATCAGCCCTTCAACTGCCAGTATATTCCAGTCCCATGTGACTGATTATCACCTATCCCCTCCATTGCATATTGAGGCAGTGCTCTTACTCTCTAAAGTGGACGGATTACCGACAAGGGCAGGGGCGTCTTTAAATCCCTGCAGACAGTGTTCGTGTACTAGAATTTCTACGTCATCCACCCCTCCTCGATTTCTTGTAATATCCGTCTAGTTTGTAGTCCAAACTTGCGCCTTTATTGTACTTTCTCAACCCTAATTAAGGCTGCGTATACTCGGAATGCACTCGTGTTTCCTTTTCACCCTCTCCAGCTGATTAGCCAGACGCAGTCACCAATCAGGGTCGAGTTCGAACTGTCTGTCATTCCGGGTGGTTTCTTTTTCAATCCTGCTAGCCAACTTGTTACCAATAGGTACTTCAAAGGCGTTTGTCTATCTTTCCCCTAATACAACTGAACTGAACGTTGTCTGAATTGGTAAGTGTAGAGGGGATTGTTACTAAACTCTATGCTGTCTTGAGGCCCGACTGGACTGGTACATGCGGAGAATGCTTGCTTCGGCTCTGGAATATTCTCTAAGCGTCCAGACGGCGTCTCTCTCCCGTCATCATAACACTGGCACGTGACTCATTCCAACCATTTTTGTGGCTGAAAGTCATTTTAAGTAGTTCGGGGATGTGCGGCTGTTCTGGGGATTCGTTTTCGACTGAAGACACTCCGGCGTCGAGCAGTCCGGACGCTCTCCGGATGGTGCTGCCAAGTGAGGTTTCTGTCTCCTTGGACATCATTTTGCCTCCCACATCATGTCAAAAAGAGTGTAGTGTAGGCAGAAACCAATTACCAATTATCCGTACTGTTTTGATGCCAACACGCCCTTTTCATAGATTTGAAAACTTCGGTTATGTGAGGTTTTTTACAAGTAATCCCCTGTGTGCGACGATGCACTTTCCCATGCGTAACCTCATCAGCGGCCGTGCGTCACTGGAACCACTTTCCCCAGAAGCATCCGTGTAAAAGTGCCTGCGGGCTTTCCTCCAGTCGAACCCAACTGAATCCTGATATTGCTTTCTGGCACAGAGAATAGAACGTTTTACTTAAAAACAACAAGGTCGTGTTGTGCTTTGAGTGCCGCAATACATGGCGTTGCGTATGGCTTGCTGATGATGACATAAGCTAGAAATGGTCATTACAGCCTTCCCTGGTTAGGGAAGGGCCAACTTAAGAGTACAGTAGTCGCCGGTTATTAAGCCCAGCCGCTTATTGAGCCCAATTTGGTCTGGGCCCGAAGCGGCCTTAATAACCGGCGACTACTGTATAAACAGCTCCATTATATCGCACTTGGTAGACTCAGACCATCACGTGAATGCCAAAGAGGCCTTCCGAGTGATCTACAAGGTGCCTTCAAGGTATTCAAAATCCCTTGGACATCGACTGTTGGCTACGGCGGAGGCGGCCGCCATCAGGCTACGCCGACCGATCCTGTGCGCCCAAAAGAATTTCGTCGCAGCGCCGCAGTTA